ACCTAACCAACCAAACTTGCTGATGGTGAAAAAATCACTTGTGTGAACCTGGCAATAACTCCAGCCATAAGTAGTGCGCGCGGAAAAAAAAATTTATTGCTGGGGGGGTTTATTGCTTGGGGGATAAGTTTAGGGGGTATAACCAGCAATAAGTAGTGCGCGCGCCGGATAAAATCTATTGCTGGCCGTATTGCGGAAAAATACGTCCGCGAGCAATATTACCGATGATGCCAACAGATAGAGGACACTTTAACGGACACGACAGTATCAACATCATGTACCTGGGGGATAAGTTTAGGGGGGTATAACCAGCAATAAGTAGTGCGCGCGCCGGATAAAATCTATTGCAGGCCGTATTGCGGAAAAATACGTCCGCGAGCAATATTACCGATGATGCCAACAGATAGAGGACACTTTAACGGACACGACAGTATCAACATCATGTACCTGGGGGATAAGTTTAGGGGGGTATAACCAGCAATAAGTAGTGCGCGCGCCGGATAAAATCTATTGCAGGCCGTATTGCGGAAAAATACGTCCGCGAGCAATATTACCGATGATGCCAACAGATAGAGGACACTTTAACGGACACGACAGTATCAACATCATGTACCTGGGGGATAAGTTTAGGGGGGTATAACCAGCAATAAGTAGTGCGCGCGCCCGATAAAATCTATTGCCGGCCGTATTGCGGAAAAATACGTCCGCGAGCAATATTACCGATGATGCCAACTGATAGAGGACCCTTTAACGGACACGACAGTATCAACATCATGTACCTGGGGGATAAGTTTAGGGGGGTATAACCAGCAATAAGTAGTGCGCGCGCCGGATAAAATCTATTGCTGGCCGTATTGCGGAAAAATACGTCCGCGAGCAATATTACCGATGATGTCAACAGATAGAGGACACTTTAACGGACACGACAGTATCAACATCATGTACCTGGGGGATAAGTTTAGGGGGGTATAACCAGCAATAAGTAGTGCGCGCGCCCGATAAAATCTATTGCCGGCCGTATTGCGGAAAAATACGTCCGCGAGCAATATTACCGATGATGCCAACTGATAGAGGACCCTTTAACGGACACGACAGTATCAACATCATGTACCTGGGGGATAAGTTTAGGGGGGTATAACCAGCAATAAGTAGTGCGCGCGCCGGATAAAATCTATTGCTGGCCGTATTGCGGAAAAATACGTCCGCGAGCAATATTACCGATGATGTCAACAGATAGAGGACACTTTAACGGACACGACAGTATCAATATCATGTACCTTAGGGATAAGTAAAGGGGGGTATAACCAGCAATAAGTATTGCAATAAGTAGCGGCTAAGCGACTACATAGAACATAGCTACTGTGCATTGGTTCTAGTATAACAGACAATGATTAATGGTTAGTGCAGCAATGGTATAGCAATTGTTAGTACAGCGTGTTAGTTAGTAAAGAAGCCAGCAAAAAATTACAATCACTCTAATAAATCAACTATTTTCTTTTACTCCCATAAATCAAATATCTCACAGCTGAATTGCTGCTACAGTAACTATCTGTTACCCACGGGCTCCACCCCTGTTACTACAATAGTATTAATAAAACTATTGATTGGTTAAGTTAAGATGAAATAAACAAAACAGAATACAGTAATGGTAATGCAAACAAATAATAACAGTTGAGGTATTTTTAACATTAGGTAAATGGAAAGTTCCCTTTGGAAAGCAATTACGACCTTATAGGGCAGTTTATGAAATAATGAATAATTTTGCGCAAGGTTTCTCGTCATGACGAACATTTTAAGTATATGGTTTATGGGGTTGTGACTTGTAGTTTTCTCAAAAGTTCATGGGTACTTTTGACTTTATACATAGATTACTATAAACATTGACTACAAACTAAACACCACACATTATTTTAGGTAACACCGTGTTCTCACGGACCTACGCGATAACAAAACGAATTTGAAAAACCACCTTGCTGTCGACTCCCGCCCATCGATGTAGTTATTATACATCGATGCTCCCGCCTCGCCGTCGCCGACCCCGACTGCGACTCAGACTCACTGTCTAGTCTAGTGTCTAGTATCTCGGCTCGGCGAGCGCCGCGCACATCCAGCGCTGTACCCCGGCTGTACCCTGCGCAGGCGCGGGCGACTGATGCGCGGCCCGGCGGTGAACCACAAGATCAGCTGTTTCTGAACTAGTGTCATCTGCTAATTTGTAATGTTTACATTTTGGAACATAACTTCGGTGAATTGGCGAGGCGATTCTGCTAGTATGGTTTTAGTTTGATTATAAATACTAACTTAGTTACTTGTATAACTGTGTGGGAAGAGGTTTAACACCAGAAAACCTAGTACAGTATATATTAGGAACGGCAATGCCTCTCCTCCAAACTTCACGTTATCTGCCCACAACTATATTGATTATGAAATAAAACTGTGCTAAACAAACCTAAACCAAACTTGCTGCAATATTTTAAAATTCCGTTTGATAGCAGCATTCTGAAAGGAAACTGCTGTTCTTTAATATCCTAACTAAACTTTCTGTAACATTTCGAAAATTTCTTTCCCAAAAATTCCATGATTGAATCATAATTCATTTGTTCTAAATATGCAGCCTAAAAATTTAGTTTGTAAAGTGTTTCTTGATGATAGACTAAGTAAATATGAGGTTTGTGACATTAAATTTACTACAGACAAGACAAATTGTAACAAAAAAAACATTATGCTATACTTCAAAAAATCTTTATTTAGTCTTTAGCTCTCAATTACTTTAAACTAAAAAAACTTATTATTTATACCCCCCTAAACTTATCCCCCAGGTACATGATGTTGATACTGTCGTGTCCGTTAAAGTTTCCTCTATCTGTTGGCATCATCGGTAATATTGCTCGCGGACGTATTTCTCCGCAATACGGCCAGCAATAGATTTCATCGGGCGCGCGCACTACTTATTGCTGGTTATACCCCCCTAAACTTATCCTCCAGGTACATGATGTTGATACTGTCGTGTCCGTTAAAGTGTCCTCTATCTGTTGGCATCATCGGTAATATTGCTCGCGGACGTATTTTTCCGCAATACGGCCTGCAATAGATTTTATCCGGCGCCCGCACTACTTATTGCTGGTTATACCCCCCTAAACTTATCCCCCAGGTACATGATGTTGATACTGTCGTGTCCGTTAAAGTGTCCTCTATCTGTTGGCATCATCGGTAATATTGCTCGCGGACGTATTTTTCCGCAATACGGCCGGCAATAGATTTTATCGGGAGCGCGCACTACTTATTGCTGGTTTTACCCCCCTTTTTTTATCCTCCAGGTACATGATGTTGATACTGTCGTGTCCGTTAAAGTGTCCTCTATCTGTTGGCATCATCGGTAATATTGCTCGCGGACATATTTTTCCGCAATACGGCCTGCAATAGATTTTATCCGGCGCCCGCACTACTTATTGCTGGTTATACCCCCCTAAACTTATCCCCCAGGTACATGATGTTGATACTGTCGTGTCCGTTAAAGTGTCCTCTATCTGTTGGCATCATCGGTAATATTGCTCGCGGACGTATTTTTCCGCAATACGGCCGGCAATAGATTTTATCGGGAGCGCGCACTACTTATTGCTGGTTTTACCCCCCTTTTTTTATCCTCCAGGTACATGATGTTGATACTGTTGTGTCCGTTAAAGTGTCCTCTATCTGTTGGCATCATCGGTAATATTGCTCGCGGACGTATTTCTCCGCAATACGGCCATCAATAGATTTTTTCGAGCGCGCGCACAACTTATTGCTGGTTATACCCCCCTAAACTTATCCCCCAGGTACATGATGTTGATACTGTCGTGCCCGTTAAAGTGTCCTCTATCTGTTGGCATCATCGGTAATATTGCTCGCGGACGTATTTTTCCGCAATACGGCCGGCAATAGATTTTATCGGGAGCGCGCACTACTTATTGCTGGTTTTACCCCTCTTTTTTTATCCTCCAGGTACATGATGTTGATACTGTCGTGTCCGTTAAAGTGTCCTCTATCTGTTGGCATCATCGGTAATATTGCTCGCGGACGTATTTCTCCGCAATACGGCCATCAATAGATTTTTTCGGGCGCGCGCACAACTTATTGCTGGTTTTACCCCCCTTAACTTATCCCCCAGGTACATGATGTTGATACTGTCGTGTCCGTTAAAGTGTCCTCTATCTGTTGGCATCATCGGTAATATTGCTCGCGGACGTATTTTGCCGCAAAACGGCCAGCAATAAATTTTTTTGGCCGCGCGCACTACTTATGGCTGGAGTTATTGCCAGGTTCACACCAATGAAAAAATCGCATGAAGGTTTACTAATCGAATCGATAGTTTCAATCGATATTAGCGTAGCCCAGTTAAGAAACTGTACCCGGCTATGTGAACAATAGGCCTAGGTTGCCTACACTGGCTTAAATTAAAACCCTTTGAGTGCCAACGTCCGGGGAACCGGACGTTTTTAAAACGAGCCAAAAGTGCCGACGTCCGGCCGACTGGACGTTTTTAGAACGAGCCAAAAGTGCCAATGTCCGGCTGACCGGACATTTCGTAATGATCGAACAGTTGTCTTAACAACCGAATGGATACTCGGATTCTTTTAACCCATATATTAACATTGAGTCGAAAGTTACTAGATGCGATACATCGATTTTCGTTGGTCGAAATATAGAAAATTCGATTTTTACGAAATTTTAACCTAAAAATCGCCAGATTGCGCTCGGCATTTTTAGCGCGACCTTCGGGAAAAATCATCGGCATTTTTTGAGCGTTAATTTTATTTCTCGCCTGGCACTCTAAGGGTTAAATACACCATTGACATTTAGAAAAAGGTGAATAAAGTAAGGCCTACCGGTAACATAGTTTTTAAAATACATTGACGGCTATGACAAAAAAATTTTCTGAATAAAGTAGGCCTAAGTAGTAGCCTAGGCCTAAGTAGTAGCCTAGGCCTACTTAAGTAAAGTAAAGCCTTGTCTATCCTTACCTTTTGTTGACACTAACTGCGTTGTTTCCTCCACAAAATGGTAATCCAGGGACAGTGTTAACATTTTCAGATACAGATAGGGAAATATTAGCTTTTAACAATGTAACAATGAATAAAAAAAAACTTCTATAGATATTATTGTGATACATGATTTTAGGTTATTGTTTTGTTATTAATTCATTTATTTATGCCTATCACTTCTTTTATCAATTACCAACTGGAAGGACACCATGCTGTGACATTTAACTTGCGTCACAACATGCAAAACAAAGTTATAAAAATAAACATTCAATTGTGATGAAATTTGACAATTTAATTAAATATTTGATTTGATTAACAAAATCCAAAGTTTAGGCTAGAAACAAACGCCACTGCCACTGCGACTCCGACTGCACTGCCACTCTCAAAACAAAAGTCTCAAACTTCAAACTGCCTCCACCTCACTCACTCACTCACTACTAGTCTAGTCAAAGTCAAGTCACTGGCGAATAACGCTGCTAAACTCACTCTCACTCACTGCCACCACCATACGATCGTCGTCCCCACTGAGCTATAATAATATAACTGGAGTAACCACTCTGTGTTTTAAAAACGTACCACTGTTTTTGCTGGTTTTGTTTCAGAGTTTCGTTTTGTTAGGTTGGCCGGGTGGCACAATTTTTATTTCAGCTGCAGTTATTTTAATAAGAACAAAATGAGAGCATTCTATTGGCTGAGGGAACACCATTAGCGCAATGAAACGGGTTGAAGCCATCGGCCTCGGTGGTCTAATGGATAGCGTGCCGGGCAACGAAACTTATGGTACCGGGTTCGAAACCCATCGGGTGCACAAACTTTTTGTCCAAGATTTTTGCATTATCAGCAAGTTTGGTTAGTTTTGTTAGGTTATAACAGTAAATTTTATAATTAAAACCTTATAAAATTAAATTTGAGCTATTTATAGTTTCATTTTATGAACAGAACCATTTTTTCGATTAGTAAACCTTTATTGAATTTTTTCATTATCAGCAAGTTTGGTTAGTTTGGTTAGGTTATGACAGTTTAATTTTAAAAAATTAAAAAAAAATAAAATTTAATTTGGGGCGTTTATAGTTTTATTTTATGAACAGAACTATTTTTTCTATTAGTAAACCATTATTCAATTTTTTCATTATCAGCAAGTTTGGTTAGTCAGGTTAGGTTATGACAGTTTAATTACACAATTAATTATATATTTTTTTAGTTTTAGGCCTATAATAATTTTTTTTGAAAATTTCTAATTTTTAAACTCTTATTTTGTCCGTATTAAAAAACTGCAGCTGAAATAAAAATCGTGCGGCCGGGTGATCGGGTTGGTGGGACGCGAGCCTTTCAAGACCGGAAAATGCCGCGTATCTGCGCATGCGCAAGTAAGCGTTATTCGTAGCACTTGTAACAGCTGCAGCTGTTTCAGAAAATCACACTAGTATCTTCACTGCAACTCTTGCAACAATCTACTTGAAACTGGAACGGTTCTCCCGCACTTAACTCCAAACCATTTAATTACTGTAACTGAATGAAGAATTTTACAGATTATGTTTATGTATGTGTTACTTTACTTACTGTAACCTCTGGCACCTCCTTTATTTTATAAAACAAATTTTAAGTAACTTGGGTGAGCTACGTTACCGTTATCATCTATTCATCTATCTTCATTGTACCCAAACATGTTTTCCAAAAGAGAAGATCCCAATTCTCATTTCATTTTTAATGGTCTAAGCTTTTTGAGAATTATTGGCATCTTGCTTACAATGAAATTTATAACAAAATGTAAATGTTCAACAACGCTAATACATAATAATTTATTTTATTCACTAGCGCTTTCAGAAACTAGGTTTCAATTCAAAAGCGCTAGTGAATAAAACAAATTATTTTATTGGCCTTGCCTTGTTGAACATAGCTGGCTTATTAATTGGAATACTTCTGTACTTCTCGTCCATAAACTAAAAATATACTTTTCCACATAAACTACAAAGTACTCCAGTGTTATTGATGTCTTCCATTCGTATTTCTCAGAATCTTCGCATTGAAGAAGGAGCACATCATCGATAATAAATGACCTCCGCAACACAGCAGCAATCAAAATCTATCAATAACATTAACCCCAACTTCAACTCAGACATAACTCGATCATAACATAAAGAATAACAAACGATATGAATAATAATTATGAGGAACTATAGTTGCAGTTGCAGTGCAGTCAAGATAAATACTACGACAACGACGCTAGTTAGTGGTTAGTGACCGTGACTTTCTGAAATAGCTGCTGCTACGCCACCAGTTACTAGCGCATGCGCAGAAGCGCGGCATTTTCCGGTCTTGAAAGGCTCGCGGTGGGCCTTGTCAAATTAGAAAGGCAAAATCAAGATGGCGTCATCCTGTTTTGCTGATGATAGTAAACAAAAATCTGCCAACTCAACGTTATGATTACAATATAAGTTTATTTGTTTATTTTACGAGCAAGAGCAACCCATTTTAACAAGATCATAAACCGATGGTCGTTATTTAATCAAATGCCATAAGGCTATTGGCCTAAACCAATATCTCCAAACCAGGAAACTTGACTAGCCTATTTTCACCACATAGCTTTAAAAGAGGTAAATAAGTTAGTATTTATTTACTATCAAACAAAAACAATTTATAATGTTTCAAAATAACTTTAAATACAGAGGTTTTAACGTGCAATAACTTAAATATGTTTTTGATACAAGTCCCTGAAATAACGGATAACATAACCCCAAATAAATAGTATATGGTTAGGTTAGAATGAATTGGAATATTATTTGACAGCATCCCACCAACCGATCACACGGCCAACCTAACAACACGAAACACCAAAAACAAACCAGCCAAAACAGTGGCACGTTTTTCTCTAACGTTTTTACCAGAGAGTAGTGACTCCAGTTATAATCTATATCTCAATGGTCGTCCCACCCACGGCACCGTCGTGAAGTTAGGCCTACCGCACACGAGAGACTTTTTGTCGGCCGACTATTTAGTCGTAGTCGGGAGTCAAAGTCGGCCCCATAGTGGTAAATCTGAGCGCGCACACGGGCCGACCCCAGCAAGACAGTCGGCAGACTGTCTGCAGAGTGCAGACAGTCGGGACAGTTTGGTGCTGACCGATTTTCCCGCCGACTGCTCCCCGACTCAACTGTTGTGTCTTATTGATAAAGGCATGGAGATAAGTTTGAACGCGCACACTGACGACTAAAAAGTCTGTCTGTCTGACAGTCGAGTGCGTTGTTATCATGTGTATTATTATTGTTATTATGATAAGTATTATTATTTGTTAGTATTACCATTTAGGAGCTCCTTCGGAAAGTGGAGCTGGGAACGGTGCGGAAAGCGTCGGAGATGTAGGTGTCGAGCTGGTGTTGCCAGCAACTCTCCCCCACTCTGCCAGTTCTGCTGTAGGGATGCCGGAGGAGCCATTCAAAGCACCGCTGAGGTCGGAAGGCTCTGAGATGGTGCTTCTGCGTCAGGAATATCTTGACGCAGAGAGTGACATTGAAACCCGGCTCCAAGACATGGAAGCTACGATAAAGGCTATGCTGGACACCTTCCGGACCCAGAAAGCCGTAAATCAAGTGGTCAAAAACGGCATGGCCAAACTGGAGGATGACCTTGGCTTCGTTTTTGCATGCCGGGTGGTGAGTAAGGCAGCCATGGAGAAGATTGCCGAGAAGGTTGTGTCTCTGTCTGACGAAAGAACACTGCCTTCTAAGAAACCAAAAGAGTGTACCCTGCCTTCGGTGCGGGGAGGTCGGTCACGTCCGTAAGGACTGCCAAGTCGAGTCCTGTTTCCTTTGCAAAGAAAATGGACTCGCTGACAAACACTTGAAGCATATAGCTGGGTCTGGACAGTGTAGTGTATTCAAATCTGCACTACAGCAAGCGAAAGTCCTTTCACGAAGATAAGAATCCTTCAGTGCAATCTTGAGCGATCCAGGTCGGCTGACGCACTTCTATGTCAGCTTGCCCTAGAACACGATGTCGACGCGCTCTTAGTCAGCGAACAGTACCAGTACCGTGATAGGGACCCATCTTTTTGGTTCCCTGATAGTCTTGGTACTGCTGCATTCTGGGCGCGTAATGCAGCGAAAGTACAAGTACGGGGTCACGCGAAGGGCCGAGGTTTCGTTTGGGTTCGGTGCCGGGATGTCACTTACTTTAGTGTCTACCTCACTCCCAACGAGGCCATCCGTGAATTTCGTGAGAAGATAGACCGCCTGGAAGAGAGCGTGCGCAATACCACAGGACACGTCGTCGTGGGTGGGGATTTTAATGCTAGGGCTGTCGAGTGGGGAATGACCCTCACCAATTCCCGGGGCAAGTACATTCTGGACTTTGCTGCCAGAGCCGGACTCGTTGTCGTCAACGAGGGAAACACGCCAACTTTCCGGCGCCCTGGGATGCGGGGAACGATCCCAGACATAACCCTTGCATCTGAGTCCCTTTTGCCAAGGATCAGAGCCTGGAGAGTTCTGGAGGATTACACGGGCAGTGACCACCAGTACATTATTTTTGATGTCCTGGATGGTCATCAGAGACAAGTAGCCGCGTTTCGTCAAGTGCCCGTTCGATGGAATATTAAAAAATTGGACGTGGCAAAATTCAATGAAGCCATCTTACGAGGAACACCGGTGGTTCCCCCCGCAACTAGTGTGGCTCATGCAGAGGTGTTAGTTACATCCATGATGGGACTAATCGTCTCCGCTTGCGATGAGTCTATGCCTCGCGGAAGATCCCGGTGCAATAAGCGACCTGTGTACTGGTGGACTGCCGAGATTGCGGAATTGCGTCGGTCAGCATTGAGAGCCAGAAGACTTGCTACCAGGGCCAGAGAACCTGTAGACAGACGTCGTAAGTCGGATGCTTACAGAGTGGCTAGGAGGTCTCTTCGTCGAGCCATCAACCGGAGTAAACGTAGTTGCTGGGAGACATTAAGGGACGATATCGATTCCAATCCGTGGGGCTTGGGTTACAAACTGGTAACCAAGAAACTTGGCACCCGCTCTCCACCTTCCGTCATGGATGGGGCCACTATGGAGAGGATAGTCGAGTCCCTTTTCCCGGCTCACACGTTGCGCCCACTGCGGGATTTTGGAAGGGTGGATGACGTACCACTTTTCAGTCTTGGAGAGGTGGAGGCGGCCGTCCTATCCCTGAAGAACAATAAGGCTCCTGGACCCGATGGGGTACCCGGCGAAGTTCTCAAAAAGGTTTTGACTATTAACCCCTTGATCCTTTTACGCATGTACAATGCCTGCCTAGTCGAAGGAGTTTTCCCTTCGTGCTGGAAAACAGCTAGGCTTGTGCTTGTTGGGAAGGGGAAGGGAGATCCAGACCTGCCATCCT